CATACAGAGCACAAAAAATACAAACCATCACAAAAATTGTTTTTAGACTAAAAAAAGGATGGTGCTAAAAATGGAAGAGTGCAGAAACATAACACCTTAACAAAATATAAAATAAAAAAGAATGGCAGACATTTAGGCCAAAGTGAGAAAAGATAAAAATCTTTGTCATTTTTTTTAATCTTTGTTATTAGAAAATAAGAACACAGATATACATTACAAATACAGATAATATACAAATAAAACAAACAGTGCTTTATTTTTCAGGTTCAGTATTTAGCAGTAACATTCAAGAAATTGAATGAACAAATATTAAAATAAAACACTATATACAATGTAAACCACGGCTTCACGGAGCTTTTTGCTTTTATAAAACGGTTATTCCATATACGTAGTAAGGTTTCACAAAATAAAACAGAGCAAATAAAGTGTAATGATATTAATAAAAACAGTATTCTTCCACCAAACAATGTAGTTCCTCAGAAACATTTGTGGTTCCAACAAATTGGTTGCCGAGCAACACTCAGAAGTTAACAAAGGTGTATGTTTGTAGTGTAATTTACAACAGCTTCGAACGTGGCTCAGCCAATCAGAATCAAGGACCGGAACCATCCGTTTTATAATTTCTAGTAAGTAATTCAAATAAACCAATAAGCCCCAAGAACCCATGATTTACAGTGAATTTATAACAGCTTATTTTTTTTGAAATTTTTTACAGCTGCACATTGTAACCAATCACACACGATTCTGTTGAGCTTATGAATGCAATGACCAATCAGAGGCGTTCAGATAAGTCATCGTGGAAATGTTTTGTTCAGTGCGTGCGTTTGCTGAAGGAATTCTGCTCTCTGATAATACTCTCATCAGAAACAACAAAATGCAGATGTACATACGATGTAAGTAGGATATTTATTTCACAGTGTAAACAGCTTCAGTGATTATAATAAGAGTTTTTGAGAGTGCTTAAAATGTTCTTTGATAATGTAAATGTTCTTTGCTTTCTGTACAATGAAAGAGTTATAATTAGTAAATTACATTTCAAGTAAATTTCTATTCAATTCAGATTAAATACAAAGTTAGTCGTATGAAAAATATTTCATGGCATGACACCCATATCTGGTACGTAAGTAAAAGGACGGGGTTTTATGCGTAGTTAATAGATTACACTATTAGGCTACTTTGCCCATCGCCCATTATAGATATTATAAAGGTGCAAAATGCATCTACTTACACATATTTGAGAATCGAGATATTTCATGTTATAGTTAACATGTTTGGGAATATTTCTAATAAAAAGGGAAAAATGAATAAAACATAAGCCTATGTAAGTTAAAAACGTGCATGATTTTAGAGGGGCCCATATCTTTTCAAAATGTATACTTTTACTTTTGATTTCATATGTTATCCTTTCCATAGAAAATAAATCTAACCAATCACTTATAGCTGGGGATTCTTGCCTTCTCCAAAATTTTGTTATTGATTTAAAAGCTGTAATTCGGAATATTCTAACTAAGTATAACTCATCTTTACTATAGCATAGGTCCTATACCCAAAACTATATTTTGCATCTTTATTATATTTTATTACATGAATTACTTCTGTCCAGAATTTTTTTATTATTATTTTACACGTATAAAATATATGAGTGTAATGAGCTTTAAGTTCACCACAACT